CAAGATACCCTCTCCACATTGTTTCCCCACAAGATACCCTCTCCACATTGTTTTTTTTTATACCTACATTAAACTCTCTTGACACTGTTTTATTTCGCACAAGACGCCATTGTTTTTATTTCCCCATATTTCACTAGACGCACTCCTGACACTGTTTCTCATAATATGCCCTCTCGACATTATACAGACACGCAAATGCTACAAACACAAATCAAATGCTCAAAACAAGTTTATTTCTCACACAATCATTAATGTTATCTGAGGACTGTACCGCTACACTCCTCAAGAAAAACCCTTAGAAAATGTACACACAACCTCATACACAAAGTATAGATATTTCTGGCAGTCCTCACACAGAATACACATGTACATACAGGTATCAGTCAAGTCTGCCATTTAGACTAAAAGAAGCAGCCACACTAATGATGAAACAATCAACATACACACTTTTAAACAGGTGAACATGAAGAACTGAGTGCCAGAAAAATTGATACACGGATACTGGCAGTCCAAATCTTCACAATAATCTGCAATTACCATTAGCTCTGGAAACGGTAGCAGTCTAAAGTAATAGCTGACGAAAAACAGATAACTGCAAAAATGAAAAGGGCATACTGGCATTTCCGGCCTTTACAAAACTATGATTACTGTTCATGTTAAATGATGATAGCCATAGTAATATAACAGCAGTGTCTATCAGCTCTCAGTGTAAGAGACATCAAATGTAAAAGAGACTATCGACTTTCAGTGTAAGAGATATCAACTTTACTTTCAGTGTAAGAGACATCAACTTTATTTTCAGTGTAAGAGACATCAACTTTACTTTCAGTGAAAGAGACTTCAAATTTACTTTCAGTGTAAGAGACATCAACTTTACTTTCAGTGAAAGAGACTTCAAATTTACTTTCAGTGTAAGAGACATCCACTTTCCAACTGTAAAAGAGACCATCAGCTCTCCAACTGTAGTAAGTAACAGCTGAACCTGAAGAATTCTTGTGAAAGCTGAGCAAAAGTTACTGGCAGTTGTAGTCTTGACAAGAATCTATTATTGCCACTTGCTCTGAATGAAATAACCACAGTCGATACATGTAGCGGCAGAAACCATCAACTGGCCCACAGTAACAGCTAAGGATGAAGAACTCATTATTCTTACACTGTGAAAGTTCAACAAGAAACACTTGAAATCTGTACCGAAATCTGTGATTACCACTGGGGTTGTATGAAGTAGTCACACTAATACTGTAGCAGACACATCCAAGTCTCACAGTGTACTTACTTAAAATATTTCCAATACAATGAAGATATTTTAAAGTCTGATACTAATCCTTGAAGAGAGAGAATTAAGACTAACCCTTGAAAAGACAGATTTAAGACTAACCCTTGAAGAGCCAGAATTAAGACTAAACCTTGAAGAGACAAGATTTAAGACTAAACCTTAAAGAGCCAGAATTAAGACTGACCCTTGAAGAGCCAGAATTAAGACTAACCCTTGAAGAGACAGAATTAAGACTAACCCTTGAAGAGACAGAATTAAGACTAACCCTTGAAGAGACAGAATTAGGACTAACCCTTGAAAAGACAGAATTAAGACTAACCCTTGAAGAGACAGAATTATGACTAACCCTTGAAGAGACAGAATTATGACTAACCCTTGAAGAGACAGAATTATGACTAACCCTTGAAGAGACAGAATTAGGACTAACTCTTGAAGAGACAGAATTATGAATGACCCATTAGAAGCCCTGCCATTGAAAATATCATCAGTATCCGAACATAAGTCTAAAAGTTTAAACATTGGGCATAGTGGAAATTCAAGTATGTATAAGAAACTGTGAATGTCATTCATATTGAAGAAAAGTAGCTTCAATAAAGTAGCAAAATAAACTCTCATTGCTACAAGGTAAAAACAAAGAAATACACTGCAGAAGTTAATGAAGAAAATACTGGCAATTCGAAGTAAAGATGGCTGACATGAAGACGAGCTCATCACGTATAGATTAAGATCGTATCAATAAAATATGGGTCTAGCATCAAATGCTGGATGCTCAAATGGCATGCAAATTGTACCTTACTGGCTTTACTTTGGAGGGGCATGAAATTGTACCTTACTGGCTTTACTTTGGAGGGGCATGCAAATTGTACCTTACTGGCTTTACTCTGTAGGGGCATGCAAATTGTACCTTACTGGCTTTACTCTGTAGGGGCATGCAAATTGTACCTTACTGGCTTTACTCTGTAGGGGCATGCAAATTGTACCTTACTGGCTTTACTCTGTAGGGGCATGCAAATTGTACCTTACTGGCTTTACTTTGTAGGGGCATGCAAATTGTACCTTACTGGCTTCACTCTGTAGGGGCATGCAAATTGTACCTTACTGGCTTTACTTTGTAGGGTCATGCAAATTGTACCTTACTGGCTTTACTCTGTAGGGGCATGCAAATTGTACCTTACTGGCTTTACTCTGTAGGGGCATGCAAATTTTACCTTACTGGCTTTACTTTGTAGGGGCATGCAAATTGTACCTTACTGGCTTTACTCTGTAGGGGCATGCAAATTGTACCTTACTGGCTTTACTCAGTAGGGGCATGCAAATTGTACCTTGCTTGCTTTACTTTGTAGGGGCATGCAAATTGTACCTTACTGGCTTTACTTTGTAGGGGCATGCAAATTGTACCTTACTGGCTTTACTTTGTTGGATCATGCAAATTGTACCTTACTGGCTTTACTCTGTAGGGGCATGCAAATTGTACCTTACTGGCTTTACTTTGTACTGGCATGCAAACTGTCCTTTACTTTCATTAGTTTGTACTGGTAATTCAAGTCTTCACAAAACAACTAAATATATAATGAGCAGAGAGGCACATTGCTCAGCACCACACAAGTTATACCATCTACTTCTGTTTAGGTTCTACACATTCAGTGTCATCATGTAAAAGAAACTTTAGACCAGGGATTCCAAACTTTGCCTATGAGGACAGGCACCACAGAATATTAAACATAGGCTACAGACAGGCTCTCTACATGCAGCAGAGAGATCCCAAGTTTGGCCTGCTGGCATTATCATGAAAACCAAGCTTTTTAGACCAGCAGAAGTCATGCATCACACCACTGACTTCACAGAGGCATAAGGCCTGATCTAAAAACCACTGGCAAGTGCAAGAAAAAGAAGAAGAGGTTATCAAACTAAGAGACCCATATGTATGAGCCAACCTCTGAAAACACCTGGGTTACTTAAATCTAAGAAAATACATGACTGGCATGACTGGGGTTAAATTCATTCTACCTGAGTATGGTCACAGTGACTGCCCACACTGCAATAATACAGCCGGGTGAAAGATGAATAAAAAGGATATAAATAATGAACAGACTTGTGTCAGAAGTCCATCACGGACACTCTCATTCCTAGAAAGTCAACATTCATGCTTCAGCCTTTCACACCTGATACACTGACCAATGTTGATGTTACGACTCCCTATATGGGCTCCAGGGCCTCATTTTGCAGAGAAAACAAAGAGTCCCAATGCTCCTGTAACATGCCCTAAAAGAAGTTGAAATTCAGGCTAGCTTTGTCAACACAACATGAAAAACCGCTCTTTTAATGGTAAATGCAGAAGAAGAATGTTATGTCTATTTAATGTGTTTCCCTGGTCTATCTATCACTTCAACTTTTAGTGTCCCAGCTAAGGACACATAATTCTTGGATCTGTATTACCTTCCAAATTACGATTTGTTTCTCTAGCTTGTCCATTGCCCTTACAATACCACCACTGCCTGAAGCCTCACATTTATATCAGGACTACTTTAATACAATCCCCTAACAATCGGTGCAAGAATTAAAGCAGATTTATTTCTTCTTCTTCTGCCTTTCTAACCCACAATGGAGCCCAGGCCCTCAACCAACTCACACCAAGTTGTTCCATCCTTTGCTATTGCATTCAGCTCTCCTCATGTCCTTCCAAACTTTTTAACTTCACTCTTTAGCTCCCTTTCCCGTGTTTTTTTTTTGTCCTTCCTTTATTTCTATGCCCTTAGAATATACAGATTTGTAGTATAAACCTTCCAATGAGTACAATACGACTGACGCGAGTGTCCTAGACTTGAAATAGATTTTTCCTCTCAAACTATAACAGCACCAGTATCCCTTTAAACTCAGATGTGTCACAAATGTGACTGCCATCTGCAGGGTGTCCCATTAAGTTTCCATACAATGCATAACAAAATAAACATATCACCAACATCAGAACTCCAGCAGTGCTTATTCCTGTTCTTCAACAGTGGAAATGTTTTTTTTAAACTGTTATTTTTCCTATTTTCAACCCCGCCCCTCTATTGTAACTAACTTATCCTCCATGAAGAATAACAGACAGACACTGTTCTCTGCCTTTACTGTCCTAGATCCTTCCGGACCTGTACTAGTCACATAAGGAAATGTAAATATTTTCCCACAATCAAAGACTTGATTCCAACACAATAAATCCACATCCTTTTATCGAACTCACTCGCCCTCCATGGAGGAAAACAAAAAGCACACACTCCACTTCACTAAATTGGCGCTTCAGCTCCAAGATTTCACAAACCAGTCCTAGGCTCAGCAGCTGTGTGAGCTCAAGATAGCATACAACTCAAGAACAGATCTAGAATATTCCAAATAACAAGATTATTTCCAATATATGGCGGAGCGTACCCACGATACACCCTTCTCTACACACGTAACAATGACACCTTTTGAATTACAGCGGAAACTGAAAAACAACATATAAGACTGGAAAAACAAAGACATGAGAGTAGCAAGTGACATGACGACCAGAAGCCTTCGACTCAAACTGTTTGCTTGTTTGTTCAAATCAATTTTTCAATGCAATAGAAAACAAAACATTTTTTTAAAAGGGAAAAAAACCAAAAGGAAGTTGAAGAGCCGTAGAATGGTTTCTGTTGTTAAAAAAAAAAAATCTGTTGGCATTCACATCGATACGGTTGTGGGCATCAACAAGATTGCATGTTCAGCCCTGAGCAATTGCTGCATTGTTGGGCAGGGCGGCAATGTTGAAGGACACGACATGGGAACCGGATGTGCCTCCAGCGCAATTGGCAGGAAAGTCTGCAGATCAAAGAACAGACAAATCAAGAATCTTGATGCACAAATTTATCTTATTAAAAAAATTTACAACAAAAATTAGTTTTTCCAACTCAGTAAAATTGACAAAAGACAGGAACAGATTACATAAGTGACAGAAAGGTTTGCAGAAAGAAGTCAGCTGTTCTTATGCTGTAGTTTTTTGTCTTCTGTGAGATCAGAACATGTCTTTGAAATGCAGAACCAACCCCAGCCTTCTTTTGGCTGTTGTGGTTTTTCTAGGCAAATTTACATTCAGGAATTTACCAATGCTTTCTAAATGGTCGGTTCTTGATACCACTGTAGAAATCAACACAAGGCAGTCTGCTGCCAAATCGCCTGCAGCTGCGATCAAACCCAGCATCTCACCACTATAAAGCGGGTTTGCAATATCTAAGCCACAGACGCCAATGCAGAAAAAAAAAAGATTACAGATAAATTAGGAATCTTGATGCACAAAGTTATTCCTCCTCTCATAATCCTTGTCATGTGGCATTTGTCTACAAACTTCTGACTCAGGTACTGTCAATTCTGGTTAAAGTAGTGATCAAAATACTATGACCACATTGCTAAGCGATCCTTAAAGATGAATCCTCCCCTCCCCTCAGCTATTTTTGCACCCCCCACCCCTCTTTAATTAATATTATTTCTGGTTCCCCTAAACTCTGCGCAGGTGAAAACAGAACCAATGTTATTAATAAGGCTTGTGTGGAATTGGCAAATGCAGCAATACCAGTTAAACGTCAACACTGGGATTTATAACAGGCCGAATTGCGGAATAGCAACATCTCACGGAAAAAGGGTCAAGACACAAAAGCAGCTTATCACAAATTACACAAACTGCTAATTAGCATTATGTCCTAGTGTACCTACCTACAGGCCTTTGTCACTACCATTTCAAAGTAAATTGATCCCCTTGTCAAACAAGATCGATGTCTTAATATATGGATATATATTTGAATCTATAATCTATACTTATGAAAATATATAACGGTCTTATCTCGCAAACATATTATCTCTATGGGAAATTCACCTTTCAATTACCAACATAATTTCACATTTCTATGACTAGTGACAAATACCCATGACTTTCTCGCACTTGCAATACTTATTGAAAAATTTCATGCATCACATATCAATCAAAAAGCGTATTCCAAGATCAATTAGGTTTTCCTAAACTATCGTTACATCCATTTCAAATTACACATACCATTTTATCTATATGGGTTAGGTCCTAGAAGTATCTTATATCCATTTCAATTACCAACTCACAGGAAGATTAGGTCCTAAACTATCTTACATCCATTTCAATTACCAACTCACAGGAAGATTACTTCTCTAAATTATCTTTATCCATTTCAATTACCAACAACTCATATTGGGAAAGATGAGATCCATTAAACTAAAAGTATCTTATATTCATTTCAATTACCAGACAACTCACAGGAAGATCAGTTAATCCTAAACTCTACTTTAGTATCTTATATCCATTTCAATAACTAACTCACAAGAAAATCAGATCCTAAAATAAAGTATCTTATATTCATTTCAATTACCAACTCACAGGAAGATCAGATCCTAAACTAAAGTATCTTATATCCATTTCAATTACCAACTCACAGGAAGATTAGGTCCTAAAGTATCTTATATCCATTTCAATTACCAACTCACAGGAAGATTAGGTCCTAAACTATCTTATATCCATTTCAATTACCAACTCACAGGAAGATTAGGTCCTAAATTATCTTATATCCATTTCAATTACCAACAACTCACGGGAAGATGAGATCCTAAACTAAAGTATCTTATATTCATTTCAATTACCAACAACTCACAGGAAGATCAGATCCTAAACTATAGTATCTTATATCCATTTCAATAACTAACTCACAAGAAAATCAGATCCTAAAATAAAGTATCTTATATTCATTTCAATTACCAACTCACAGGAAGATCAGATCCTAAACTAAAGTATCTTATATCCATTTCAATTACTAACTCACAAGAAAATCAGATCCTAAACTAAAGTATCTTATATTCATTTCAATTACCAACTCACAAGAAGATCATATCCTAAACTAAAGTATCTTATATCCATTTCAATTACCAACAACTCACGGGAAGATGAGATCCTAAACTAAAGTATCTTATATTCATTTCAATTATTAACTCACAAGAAAATCAGATCCTAAACTAAAGTATCTTACATCCATTAACATTTCCAAGGTGAGACATTATGTGACATTTATAATAACGTGCTTACAGCAAACCAAACCCAGCATTTGTTAGTTTATGATTCTACTGGAAAAAACTCAGTGGTTTGCCACTGCTTCTGAATGGTCGGCATGCCATACCTACTGCTGCCAATTCATCCATAGCTGAATCAAACTGGGTATTTAAGAGTTATAAACTGCAACATAAACAGTAAGCCCCTGTAATGCTACAGTGAGCTGGTTTCTCAGCTGTTCAATTTAAAACTACCCAAATTCTAACACTACAGTTTGCAAAAAAACCACTTTCAGCTACCAATTTCAATGAACATGTGAAGCTGCATTTATTGGCAGAAGGAACATACAACTGGGAAAATATTACATCAACATGAGCTGAAACAAATTTGCAACAATAACCGACATATGTAAAATGAAATGGTCAGAAATTTAGCCCTATCAGTATCAAAAGAAAACACATTTTGCATTCTGTTTATACTAGCTTGTTTATAAAGACTGCAGACAACAGGTGTTGGTAGTAAAGGCAGACATTGAGCCTTAATTGTTCAGAATTCTGTTGATGGAGATGCAGTCATTTACAAGATGTGGAGAGGAGAGAAGACAAACACGCAGCACACAGGTATAGGGTTAGAGGTGCAAAATTAATTACTCCCCATTCTGTGTCCAGTTAACAGCGACCAATTAATTAGAGGCCTCAAGTAGAGTATTACCTCCAATCTGTTCTAGCAGCGGCTAAGGATGCCTGTATAAAAGTAAGAAAGAAAGAGACGAAAAATGCACACTATAATTCTGCATCCTGTAAACGATGACCAATTAATAAGAAACCCTAAAGTAGAGTGTTACCTCCAATCTGTCCTGCAGCAGTCGCAGGGGTGGGGGAGGTGTGCCCTGCAATATTTGACATCCGTCCCTGCTCTTTCACAATTGGATCTGTTGAACAATATAACAAAAGAACATTCTTAACAAACATTACATATTAGAACAAAATATGTGTTTTATATTCTTATTATATTCATCATTTCGGTATCTCAGGTATTTGTTTTAAAACAAATTACAAAATGACTTTTTAGGTCATTTCTTTATTCCAACAATTAAGAATACAACAGGTATCCTGCACTGTTAATGTATTAATGATCCGGGTATCTCAGGAAAGACAAGTACAAAAAGTTAGTTTTTCTTCACTTCATTAATGTTCATATACATTAACTATCCACTAAAACTGACAATCAGTTTCTTTTTCTTCTTCTTAAAGTCCATGCGATGTGGTGTTGGTAGTCTTGTCTATCTACAACCTTCTGTATCATGAACTTTCAATCAGCTCTGACACAGATGAGCCTCCATGCTGTGTGGTGTTGGTAGCCTTGTCTATCCTCAACATTCTGTATCATGTACTTTCAATCAACTCTGACACAGATGAGCCTCCATGCCATGTGGTGTTAATAGTCTTGTCTATCTACAACCTTCTGTATCATGTACTTTCAATCAACTCTGACACAGATGAGCCTCCATGCCGTGTGGTGTTGGTAGCCTTGTCTATCTACACCTTCTGTATCATGTACTTTCAATCAACTCTGACACAGATGAGCCATGATGTCAGATTGTCTAGCCTCTTTTCTATCAGTCTCCCTCTGCCCCCCCCCCCCCCCCCCCCCCCCCCCCCCCCCCCCCCCCCCCCCCCCCCCCCCAACGGTCCTACTTGTCACGATGTACTCCAGTTTTCTCCTTCTTATCACATGACGTCAGATGGTAGATTGTCTCTTTCTGATATGGGCCATCAGTTCTCTTCGTGAGTCAGTTTCTTTCAAGACGCCTTCACTACTCTTTTTATCTGTCCAGGGAATTCTTATCATCCATCTATAAAACCAGATCTCGGCAGTTTCCATCAGTTTCACTGATCAACTGTCCATATCAGATTCTTTGGCTTGGCTCTCCATAAAGTGACTGACCCAGTTTTGCAAAGATTAAACAGGAACCGGCAACAACAAAATGTATATATTTTGACAGCATGAAACCTTACTGTAGTAACTACCTGTGTGGGTTCCAAGACCTCTTTTTGGGGGGAGATAGAACAGATATACTTCCCCCACACCCTCCCCCAGACTACACACTATGTTATATATCAATGTACAAATAAAAAACTAATTATTCTCAATGCATCTATAGACTTGTGCCTCCCGACGCAAACTATGTCAATCTACAAACAAGAAACTGTAATAATTCTCAATGTATCTATGGACTTGTGCCTCCTGACGCACACTCTATATGTCAATGTACAAACAAGAAACTGAAATAATTCTCAATTCATCTATGGACTTGTGCCTCCCGACACACACTCTATATGTCAATGTACACCAAACATAACAAACAAATCGTAACTGTAACCATTCTGAATGTATTTACAGACTTACTACTGTCCACCAACAATCCACTAACAAAATAAGGATCCACTAACAGAAATAAGGATGGTGAAGCTACTTACAGAAATAAGGATGGTCCATGGCATCTCTTGCGGTCAATCGGTCATTGTGGTCATAGCGAAGAAGCTTATCCAGAAAGTCCAGCGCCTCTGGGCTAACAAGATGTTGGTTCTCACTATGAACAAACCTCTCCCAGCGTTTCCTGGAGTGTCTGTTGTCAGAAACATTCATAAACTAGCTACATCTCTTTTCTCAGATACTGGACGGAAATATGATGGAGAAAGGGCATTTTATGAGGGAGAGAAGAAACAAAGGCAACAATGTTTTCTGTAAGTTAAAGCTGCTAAAGTTATAGATCTCTCTTTTTTTTAAAAATCTAGAAGCACTTGAGCATAGCTCATTTGGCTCAGTGTCGATAGCATCAAAGCCCTATAGCCTCAGTGCCACGCACAATGTTAATCTGGGGAGTATGCGGCATTTCTGTCATCTCTGGGCTCAAACCCGAGACCGGATATGCATAGGGATTGTCATCTGATGTCCAACCCGCTATCAACTAGGCTGGAGCACCGGGTTTATATATCCTTTCAATGTTACCCACAAAGTAAAGGCCTTCAGGCATGTTGGGCATTTATTGCTAGACCTATATTTTACAGACCAATCAGCATTTAGTGGGTGATGTGGTCAAGATCATGCAGGCCACCTTTACTTCCCAGGACTTTACCCGGTATCCAATTAAGGCCAAGGCCATTTCTGGGTGGGGGGGGGGGGGGCTGTGGCTCCATTCAGACTTCAGTCAACAACCTTCAAATCTGCAGGTGAGCATGGAGCCGCTACATCACGGCAGCTCCCAGCCAAGGATGTCATAATGACAAAATATAAAGTGCAGTTTCCACACCGGGATGGGACATTGGGGAGGAGGGTCCCTCCAATCCTCGAGACACATCAGGCAGGACACGGGCAACGAGGCAAAAACTGCCAGCCTTCCTTCTTTCCATGAAATCTCCAGGTACTCCATTTTGGCTGGGTCAGATATGCGCCCAGGTAAACCTTCACAATCTTCCAGTACGCAGTTTTGAGCCCACGTCTAACAGGTCACCAGGTAAGTGTACTAGCCAATGCACTATTTGATCCCCTTAGATTAAGGTATAAGGCCTTTATGTGATGGCAAAATTACTCATAGGCTGGTGTAATCACCACTGACTATAAAAATATTTTTTTTTAAATGTTAAAAATGTTTACAACATCAATGAATCCCTCGTTGTCAGGTTCATTTTCAGTCCGGTCAACCCAGGAGCCAAAGGCATGTTTCCTAATCTGGCCAGTGTGGATTTGAACCCAGATCTTTAGACCTGCAAGCGAGCATCTAGCCAATATGCTAACCCCCCCCCCCCCCCCCCCCACTGTTTGTATTTACATTGCAGGCAGAAAAGAGAAAAGGGGGGAGGGGGGTTGTTCTGAGCCTAAGGATTTATGGCCACATGACTAGTGCTGTCACCACACACAACGCAGGTAAAGTAAAGTAAATAAATATAAAGTAAAGGACCCTTTTCTACGCCGCCCTTTTTTCCTTTTCAGATGTACTGGGCTAGACCTATATTTTATAGACGAATCGGCACTTGGTGGGTGATGCGATCACCATCACACTGGACGCCTTTACTTCCTAGGACTCCATCTGGTATCTATTCAATGCCGGGTCAAACGGGGAAACCGTGCAGGTAAGGATTTAACCCCCTCCCGTAAAAATCCCCACCTTTACAGAGGATTCGTACCTGGGTCTTCCGCACAACAGGCTAGAGTACTAAAAGTAACCATAAATTCCACATAATTTTCTGATAGCAATGTTTAAAAAGTTGTTCTCTAAGGTCTCATTATTTTTTTAACATACCTTCCTAAAATGTCATTAAATCTTGGGTCCAAGTCAATCTGGTACTTTTCAATGTACCCATAGAGATCATCTGTTCCTAATACTTTGGCAATTCTCACGAGCTGCAAACAACAAAAAAAATACAATATCAAGAACTCTTTCCCTGAATATGGCCTTAACTCTTTCAGTCCCAAAGGATTTCATAGAATATACATAATGAATACTTCTTAGAGTCCATGTCGTGTGGCAATTGTAGTCATGTCTATCCACAACCTTCTGTTTTGTGTACTTTCAATCAATTATGACATAGATGATCATCCATGCCATGATGTTGAATCGTTCAGCATCTGTTCTCTCGTCTCCCTGCCTCTCCTCCCCTCCAACTTTCCTACCGTCACAATGTACTCCAGTTTTCTAACTCTCATCACATGACCAAAGAATGAAGATTTTTTCTTTCTGATGTGGGCAATCAGTTCTCTTCATGAGTCGGCTTCTTTCAAGACGTCTTTATATCTCTAATTATCTGTCCAGGGTATTATCATTTGTCTATAAAACCACTGCAGTTTCTAAATAAGTTTCCACTAATTTATTAACAGTTCATGATTCACAAGAGTGCTTGGGGAAGGGAAAAAAAAAGCCAACATGCACAATTTCCATAGGGGGCAGCACTGAACTTCAGACATAAGACATACTATGTTAAAAATTTTTTTTTTTAAACAGGTAAAATGTTCACAAAATCGGATTACAGCATATGTATTGGTGGAGATTGAAACTTAACAGGCTGGTCAGCAAACTTGTTGAAGTTTACAGCTAGCTATAATATTGGCCCCTTTTGGCCCACATCAATTTTCACAAAACTGTATGTAGTCACCCTTCACCACATGTTTACATCCCCCCCCCCTCCAAGTGAGGCCCCCTGGAACTGAGACAGGGCTCCAAGAACTGATAACAAAGGTACTGTCTGTGCTATGGCAATATTTTACTGTTTGAGCATAACATAAAGACATCAGCAAAAAACTGGTTTGTATTCCTGTAAATAACTGTGGCCAATCAGGCGATTTATGTACTTGGCTATGTGATCTGTATATAAATATCACTAAGCTTGAACATACTTAAATCTAAACTCTCCCTAAACATGTTATGTGTAAAATATCAACATTCTGACTAGACATAATTCCTTATCCTCTTAAATTTAATCTGAAAATAACGGGGGTGGGGGAGGAGAATCCGTGAATACCGTCCCCGAACATGAAATAATCTGAACAAAATTTTGAATACACTGGTGACTTGTCCCGAGACATGTAATCTGGTGGTAATTGTGACCATATTGTCGATTTCAGTCCCTGGAGTTGCTGTCATTTCACCACAGCTCTGCTCCCACATATGTAATCTGACCCTGTGTACTAAAGTAAAATACCCTTTTCACAGAAGTGGTGCTTCGTGCATATTATGCTAGGCTTATAATTTTGATAGACTAACTGGCACTCAGTGGCCGCCTTTACTTCCCAAGACACTGCCTGGTACACATTATAGGCTGGGGAGAAAATCTGACCCAGTGTGAACTGAAACTAGGGTTGTTAGATACTGTTTTCTCCAGAATTTCTCCTTTTTTTTTTTCTGAGCCCAAATTTGTTTGTATAGAATAAGCTTAGTATGTTGTTTATGTTTTCTTTATAGCCTATTAGTAGTGAGGGAAAAAATGGTGAATACAACAACGAGACATCTCTCCATTTTGTTGTTTTTTTTTTTTTAAACAAAATCTGTCAACCTTTAAATCTCTGAGCAGGGAACCAAATCCACAGCCCCACCACAAATGTAACCTGGACAGAAATCTAAGAGACCCACCTGATCGTAGTTATCATGCCCGTGAAAGAAAGGCTCCTTCCTGAAGATCATGCTGGCAAACATGCACCCCAAGCTCCACATGTCTAATGAGTAATCGTACATCTGAAGAACAATCAGGCAACACAAATCAGGTCATCATGATCCCTGGCTTGTCCAGCAATAACTAACTTTGAAGAAAACTGTCTTTACTCCTGTACTTATCTGCCCCTTAAGGGCAGGGTAAGGCAAAAGGCCGAATGGTTAAGAACGCTTAGCTCTCATGAGGGAGTTCCAGGTTCAAATCCTCAGTAAGGCTGTGGCTGTGCTCTACCACTCACCCCCCCTTTTTGCAGCCAGAAAAGTTCCAATTCTACTAGTACTCCACACCAACATCCTTGAATGCCCACCTTGCCTTTTCTTTATTCTGATGTTGTCAACAATTGTAAAGCCAGTTATCTTTTATTTCATGTCATAAAAGCTACCACACAAAATCACACTATAGGGCTAGGTACCCACACACACAAAAAAGCAGATGGAAAGGCCAAGTAAGACATGAATCCAAAATATGATTTAGTGGACAGGTCTTAAATATATATAAAAGCATTTTTTTCAGCCATCTCTGATTGATTGGCGCCTTTCCGTCTTTCCAGACGATAGTGTTATACTGCGCTATGAGGAGGCATGTGACACATAAAAAGTTATGGGGTTATAGAGCAGAATCTACTTTACTGAAGCTGGCTGCTTACCTGATAGTCTAATAGAAGTTCTGGGCCTTTGAAGTACCTCGATGCAACACGGACGTTGTACTCCATGCCTGGATGGTAGAACTCTGCCAAACCCCAATCAATGAGACGTAGCTGCGGAAAAAGTACATATTCTTTTTTAAGCAATTTTTTTATGAAGACCCCTGGGGATTGTCACCGGAGCTACAGTGTTCATTGCTGGTACTGACGACCTCAGAAACTGTATCTATCCATCCTTTGAATAGGCGCACTTTAGCTCTACTTCCGCTGTGTCGAAGGGATCGGGCTCTCCTTGTAGTGCACTATGTTGGGGTAATATTGATCCATGTCCAAACCAATTCATTTCCTCCAGTTACCCCACTGATCCTAGCCATGTGCAGACTGTTGGTTCCTTGTCCCTAAGACAGATGCACTCAAACTTGGAAGGAAACATCGATCCTAGCCATGTGCAGACTGTTGGTTCCTTGTCCCTCAGACAGATGCACTCAAACTTGGAGGGAAACATTGATCCTAGCCATGTGCAGACTGCTGGTTCCTTGTACCTCAGACAGATGCACTCAAACTAGGAATGAAACATTGATCCTAGCCATGTGCAGACTGTTGGTTCCTTGTCCCTCACACAGATGCACTCAAACTTGGAGGGAAACATTGATCCTAGTCACGTGCAGACTGTTCGTTCATTGTCCCTCAGACAGATGCACTCAAACTTGGAGGGAAACATTCATCCTGGCCATGTGCAGACTGTTGGTTCCTTGTCCCTCACAGACAGATGCACTCAAAACTTGGAAGGAAACATTCATTCTAGCCATGGTGTGTTTGGTGTCCAGGCCCTCAGCTGGGAACCTGTGTCTGGGATGACCACAGGGAGAGATGTGGATAAGTCTTGAACCAGAATGAGCTCTAGTCCTGCTGCGCCATCACATGTGGTTCACCACCTCAATATACCACTGGCCGAACGGGTCGCTCACAGCTCGCGGGTAGGCGACTTCGACCCCAGTTGGAACAGTATTTGGGTCTGTCTCCTTTGATTGCATCAACAATGCAGGATCCCTTTTCATGGATCCTGGTGTGCAATCCTAAGCCATTTTTTTGTGTGAATATACCATCAGCATCATCATCATCTAGCAGGTCCTTTGCAGAACATCGCTCTCATTATAGTCTGTCTTAAAGAAACTCGGTCTCTCGCCAGCTCTCCAGCCTCAGCATATAATCTAGTCACAATTATTACCTAAAGCCCCCCCTTCGGACATGCAGGTTTAACACCTACCCACTTCAGTATCCCAGACTGTAATGATCTATTAACTTCTCCACATTTCACCTTTTTAATAATGCTTAAATAATCCTAGGTGGCCAGGTAAAGTCGTCAACTCTTAAGACAAGAGGCAGGGTATAAAACCTCTCATTCATGCCACTACCAAGGTGCTTTCTAACCGGCATCGGCCACAAAGTTAGCCTCACAGTAACGTACACAACAGAGGGTCAGTATTGCAAATGGTAGCACAACCTGTGTTAACCAGGGTTCACTGGTCAATTCTGTGTTTGCCCTTTAAAGAGCAGTTGGCACACTGAGCGGCTAACAGCTAGGCTGTGATGTCTGCACCTCCTGGCCAGGCATGTCCAGTTTCAGCAAACCCTTAGTGGTCTTTTATGAGAATGCTTATTAAAGATTATTAGATCTATTCTGAGGGGTTTTTTTTAAACTCCAAAACTGGACCCCAGAACTAAAATATATGATTGTAGAAGTCAAGCACAAATAATGATTGTATGAGACATTTGCAAATAATGATTGTAGGAGCCATGTGCAAAAAAATTATAGATGTCATGCACAAATAATGATTGTAGGAGTCACGTGCAAATAATGATTATTTGCACATGTTTATAGATGCCATGTGCAAAAAATGATTGTAGAAGTCAGATGCAAATGATTGTAGGAGAAATGGGCAAATGATGATTGTAGGAGCAATTTGCAAAAAATGATTGTAGGAGTCATGTGCAGATAATGATTGTAGGAGTCACATGCAATTAATGATTGTAGAAGTCAGATGCAAATAATGACTGTAAAAGTCATGTACAAATAATGATTGTAGAAGCCATGCGCAAATAATGTTTGTTTAAAGTCATGCACAACTAATGACTGTAGGAGATATGTGCAAATAATGATTGTAGGAGTCATGTGCAAATAATGACTAGAAGAAATCAAATTGCACCAACCTTTCTGTTTTCATGATCAATCATGACATTATGAGGTTTGACATCTCTGTGCATAATACCCATACTGTGGCAATAATCCAAAGCCTGAGGAGGAGGACATCAGCAATAACAACTAGTCATCTTAAATATACAGATAACAACAATAAGAACTAGTCATCTTTAATATACAGATAACAATAACAACAACTAGTCATCTTTAATATACACACAGACAGAAAAAAGGGCTAGTCCTGCACCGCTTGCTGGTGAACTGATACATGATGGGGTAGATGTTAATTCACTGAGTCCCAAACAACCCATGATGTGTGAACCTACTGAATGCCCTCCCTGGCTTGATATGTTCTCTTATTTCTTGTATTTGGTCAGAAAATACTCAATAAATCTGGTTTATCTAATGCTCACTACTACTGTTTTAGTGCCGTTTTAAAAGTAATGCCTTAATTGTTATCAAGGATATTTCTTCACTGGTATCTCTTACTAAACCTTCTTCTGATACAAAGAGAGTTAAGGCCCTTTGTGAACAAAGCCCAAAAGCGAACAGAACAGTGGTCTATAGTGAATGGTGCAGGAGGGAGTGACCATGGAATCTGGTTGTCACTCAGCACTCAGATGAAAGGCCAAAAAAACATGTAATTAAACTAATACTGGCGCACAACCATCATTTGAACTCTGCGCCAGCTGCTGAAGATGGGGAAGGAGTGTACTTATTGAGATGTTAGGAGTGCTGTGATGTCCGTTTTTAACTCAACTTTTCTGCTTAACTCTCCTGAGTTCCATTATATGATATTCTTTCAGACAGTCTGTTTAGTTCATGTGTGCTTTCTGTGCACACTTTAGTAGACTTAGTGCAAAATGTAGAGTACATAGCTCTAATATCAAATCAGTACCGTTGTACGGCACTATGACAACTATGCTGTAAAAATGAAGATTGCTATTAGGTTACTCCCAGAAAGAATGAAGAACTATGGAGTTGAACCATAATTACTAATTAATAAACAATATTTGTTAAATGATGCCTTAGCAGAACAGGGGGAATCAAATGATAATCCAAAATCACTAATGCGCAGCTCTGGAAAGGAACTAAAATTCCAGTGAATGATGAAACAAGGAAAAGTTAGAGAGTCATAAGACAAAATGAGAAAACTATAATGTCCTTCCAGTGGAACCCACAAAGTTAAAAAAATTAAGGGAGACCAAAAAGCATACAGAAAAGAATTAGACTATGACATGGCTCAGAGTCAATCCATTTTCAGCGTTAGATAATTGTCTGAACATACGCTTGATCTAGTATATGTAAAGCCACAACTCTTCATATCCTTACAGCTGCATCAGTCACATGAATACCTGTTTCAATTAATTGCTTCAGTAAACAAAACTTTTCTATCAACTTATCATCCTACCCTGTTTTAGGAATGAATGTTCTACACAAGATTTTACAATTATGAAATTGACGAAATGTGTAACATTTTAAATGCTCATATTCTGTACATATTCAAAGAAACATTATTAAATCAGCGACATTTTCAAAGTAAAGTAAAGGGCCCTTCATCACACCTTCAGGCATTTTGGGCATACAGGGCTAGACCTATATTTTATAGGTCAATTGGCACTTGGTGAGTGATGTGGTCAACACCACACCGGCCACCTTTACTTCCCAGGACTGCACCTGGTACCCACTCAAAACTGTATTAACGTGAGAGCCAAGGTCATTTTTTAAGAAAGCCCACTTCCGCCAGGACACGAACCCATGACCTAGCGTCTAGCCACTACATCACGGTGACATTTTCAAATGTCCAGAATATTCTTATGTAGGGGTAATGAGCAAGCTGATAGACTAGCTTCTGCTGCTCCTCTGGGCGGAGAGCTATTTCATAATGAGGTAGAGGTGGTGAAGGCTTTCTGGGATTAGGTGGACAGTGCAACAGAGTATCCATTCCTCGAAAGACTGATTCAGTAGGTGGTATGCACAGGGTCTGGATGGTTTTTTAAGCACAGGGCGGACACGAAATCAGACAGCAAGTGGCACCATCAGTATGGGGACTTTGCTGGGTACCCAGGAAGGTGAAAGAGTGGTGTGTGGATGCCTAAAATGCTGATGTCAACTCTCAATTCATTCAAATGCCCCTTTTGCTAACCTCTCTAAGAAACTTAACACTGAACCACACCAATTTGTTCCAAATAGTCCAGATGTAACTGACAGTTCCGTGGTAAATGAGTCAAACATCAAACTTCAGAAGAACTAAGTACACCCACCTTTAACAATTCATACAAGTAGAAACGTATATCGAAGTCTATGAAAGTTTGGTATAGTTGCTGAGGATGAACAAACATACAATTACATTTACTTTTAACAATTAACACAAATTTTCATCAGTTGTCACAAAAAGTGCTACATGACACAGCTCATTTTATAAAAGTATTTATATTAACAGAAGCAACTATAAATTAAACTTCATGAATTTAATTCTTTTTGTCTCCCCTTGAATGACTTGAGACATGATAAAAGAGAATACCCGCATTTTTCAACAATTGCACAAAATCAACAAGTCATTTTAAAAACAGTTTCCCTGTTGTGAATTTAAACCCACCTCGAAGGCTAAATCTACTCAATCCCAGTTGTTACAAAGCCCAGTAAATGCCAAAAAAAAGGGTAATTTCTGTTTTCAAAAGGTGTAGTCAAAGCCCACTGCACCTTTAGGTTTAGGCAACGAATCAACATCATGGCACAAGGGTAGTAATCCATAAGTGCTCCTCTTAGGCCTGAGTCCGAAGAATATCAGCATAGAGCACGAACTCGCACGAACCGGCGAGTATCTTGAAAAACTTTGGGTATATTTTAAACTCAAAATTTTGCCCAGGCAGCACCGCTAGACTAATCTTGTTCGATTACCAAAAAGAAAAAAAAAATTTTTTTAAACTTGTGCCCATCTTACAACCCAGAGACCAGGAAAAATTACTAGAAGCCCAGGTGAAAAAATCCCAGCCTTCACTAGGGCTTGAACTAGGGACCTCCAGCACTTGAGGTGGACGTCATGCCTCAAAACCACACAGCCCCCCCCCCCCCACCCTATGTGCATCTGTGCTTAAAAGGCCAGGATATGGATACAGTAGCTAAAAATAACACTTTAAGGGGTTTTCGTTTATAAATGGCATTCTGAAAGCCAAGTTGATGTCACATTTTCCCGTAGGTCTCAATGATAGAGGTGATAGCACAGGTCACCCCATACATGTTTGGTTTTTTCAATACCTGGGGAAAGTATTCCATTTATTGCTTCACTCTGTTCATGTTTTTGATTTAGTTGGTTGCGTATCCTCTAAATGATGTTGCTGAACCATACCCAGCTTTTTTGGCTACTGTGGTTTTTCTAGGCAAATTAACATCCAGTAGTTTGCCATTGCTTTCCGTATGGTCAGCTTCTCGACACCACTGTGGAAACCAACGCAAGGCGCAATGCCCGCAGCTGGCACCCTCGCATTAAGAAGCGTGTTCGCAACGCCTAAGCCACAGGCACCGACTGTGTTTTTGATTATCCCTTTATAATTTATATTTTTTCAATACCCCACCCCTTCACCATTATTTCTGTCTTGTAGGTAGATTGAGGATAGCCACACAAAAAAAAAAGGCTAGGGAAAGCAAATTTGGACTCAGGCTTGACTCAGTGCCCAAAAAAAAGTTACAAGTCAAATGAACACTGTAAGGGCCTGTGACACCCCAGCTCACTTTTAAAGTAAAATATGTAAAGGACCCTTTTCCACACCTTTCAGGCATATTGGGTATACAGGGTTAGACCTATATTTTATAGAACAACAGCACAAGATGTGTAACATGGTCAGCATCACACCGGCCGCCTTTACTTCCCAAGACTTCACATGGTACTCACTGAAGGCTGGATCGACCTCGGAGCCAAGGTTATTTTTGAAAAATGTCTGGCTCCACCAGGGTTCGAACCCACAACCAGCAGGCTAGCGTCTAGCGGACCACGGTGACTCTCCCCACCTTACTAATGCTGGGTTAATAGTTAATATTCTTTATGGACGCTGGCCCAAGTAATTCGGCTGCTGGGCACTCATGCAGGAGACACAAATTCAAATCATTTGTAAGGTGAATGGCATTTGTTACTTGCCATGACAAAACTCCTAACCAGCACAGTTCATCAACAGTACAAGGCATGTAGCCCTAAACATTCAGACTCGACAGTTCCCTCTGCTACACCACATTAAAATGTGCTCGCTACTGGCAGTAAGTACAAAAGAGAGAACGATCGATTGAATACTCACTTTGAAATCCGTGTTATTGACATGTTCAAATATAAGTGCTGGCGTCCGTGACTGTCAAGCAAAAAATGGAAAAAACAACTTCAGTATAAAACATTCAGCAGATGTTAAAAAGAGCCTTGTCTTATGTAACACCTAACTGGGTTGTGGGAGATCATTTCGGGGAGAAAGAGAACAGACTTATTGCCCCCGTAACAAGCACTGTAAAAAATGACTGATTAAGGACTTGCTGACATCAGACAAGCTGGGCTGAAAAGGCTCACACATCGCGCCTAGCTGTACATCTCAATACAACGTACTAACCACCCATTTAAAGGTGAATACAGGAGACGCATTATGTAAGAATGTGGAAAAAATCAAAGTAAAGAAAAATCATTTCACACCACTGTCTTATTGACATATGGTGCTACACTCACATTTTAAGACCCTCAGAAGAAGTGGATTTGATGAAGCATCAATAAAAAAAATGTCCAAAAACACAATTAAATCACATATCTAACGCAAATTTAAAAACTTTGATAACACCGGAGCTAAATTTCTTAACACAGCCATGTTTAGAAAATACACTACAAAGCTATTCGCAGAACCTCTATCGGACAATGCAGAACCAACCCCAGCATTGTCTGTCTGTAGTTTGACTAGGCAATTTTAGATTTAGTACTTTGCCACTGCTCTCTAAAAGGCTGCCACCGCACATGGCGGCTGAAATCAAGACAAAGCATTCTGCTGCCAAATTGCCCGCAGCTGGAATAGAACAGGGTGTTTCAGATTTACAAAACAGGTTTGCAACTACCCAGCCATAGACAAACACATTATATCAAACTAAAAAATATGCAATAAAACCAAATAGTTGTCACATAAATATATGCTAGTATAATCTTTCTTCTTCTTCTTCACTTCCTCTTTTACCGCTGTGGGTGTTGAGGGAGATATAAGGTTCTGTTTCTAGCTCTTCTGGTTGCCTCGACCATAGGCACATCGTGCTGTTGTAGAGTTTCTCTGATGTTATCCTTCCATCTTGTTCTTGGTCTACCCCGTGCTCAACGTCCTTCTTCTCTTTCTATGTATGCTTTGTATGGTATGGTGTCACAAGGCATTCTCTCAAAGTTTTCAAACCATTTCACTTGCTGTCTTTGTATGTAATGCAGAATTGGTTCTGTGCCGACTTGTTCTCTTATGATCTCATTCCTGATCTTATCTCTTATGGTCACTCCTACAGCCCTTCTCAGACATCTCATTTCCGTGGTTACTAATTTTCTTTTATGGTTTGTTGTGAGTGACCATGTCTGGCACTGGTAGCACAGAGTTGAAATAATTATGCTTTCAATAAGATGTCTCTTTGTGCTGATTGGGATTGTCTTATGCTGTAAGAGGGGGGCTAGCTGTCCCAATACTTGATTTGCTTTACTGCATCTAATGTCAATTTCTTTATCCAATTTCCCATCTTCGGTAAATGTAATTCCCAGATATTTAAACTCAGATGCCTGTTTAATGTCTTTGTATTCTATTGCTATGTTTAGATCTGTCTTCTTTTTTCCTATTGACATTACTTCAGTCTTTTCAGTGTTGATTCTCATATTATTATTATTTGTTTTACATTCTTCATTCATGGATGTTAGATGTTGTTGCAATTTCATGGCTGTATCTGCTATCAAGGCCTGGTCATCTGCAAAGAGTAATTCGTTGATCTTACTAAGATCTTCATTCATGGGAGTATAATCTTTAAAGGTATTAATATGGTCTCTGCAACATTGACAGAACAATAACATGCATGAATGCTTACCACAGGGTCTTTAACTATTGCCAGCAATGTAATGACATTGGTGCCACCCCTGAGATTTTCTAGAATCTTGATTTCTCTTTTGATTTTTTTCTTTTTGACAGGCTGAAATATTTTGCAAATAAAATAACATTGTCATCATTTATTTGCAACCATAAAAGCAATAACATCAAAGAATCATGTGGTTTAGTCATCTAGTCCGAATGGAAGAAAAAACCCAGCAGGTAGAACGAACTACATGACAACAGCAGGCTAAGAGGAAGATTTTGGCGGCAGTAAAAGGGACACTAAGAAATGCAATATGACATTAACAAACGGTAGCAAAAGACAGGAAACTACATCAAACTCCTCTCTGAAATGTACATTTTTTAGGAATTACACAAGCACGTTGAACAGGGACAGGAAAAAAGAAACCTCAATACAGACGACAACATAATCTGGTCAGGTAGAGCTGATGAACAACAAAGTGAAGGAGTCCAATTAATAAATAAATAGGAGCTCAACAACACTCTTAAAGAATAGAAGCCTATAAATGAACGACTTTTGTATGCAAGGTTCAATTCTAGTCTGCAAACATGATGTATTATTATTTATCTTAGGAGACTCAAAACGAACATCAGTAAAACTAAAGTAATGAGAAATAATTTCAAAACAGAAAATCTAATTATCTTAAATGATGAAGCAATAGAGGAAGTTGAAGAATTGATATACCTCGGAAGTAAAGTTACTCCAGATGGAGATTCCGAAAAGGATGTAACATCAATAGTAAACAAATCAAATCAAGCATTTGCCATACTTAACAATATATTGAAGTCAAAGGGATTTAGTTTGAAGACAAAACTAGAATATACAAGAGCAATGTTTTAGGAATACTATTATACAACAGTGAATGTTGGAAAATGACAGCGGGAATTACACATAAACTTGAGACCTTTCAAAATAAATTCTACGAATATTGTGACCAAACAAGATCACAAATGAAGAGCTGAGAAGGAAAACTGAATGTGCATCATTGGCAAATGTTATCAAAGTAAGACGATGGAGATGGCTTGGACATATTTGCAGAACACCTTGTGACTCTGGCAAAAACAGCTCTTCGGTTGACAGCAGATGGGAAAAGGAGACGTGGACATCCTAAGGAAACCTGGAGAAGTACAATAGAACAGGAAATGAAGGAATGTAAACTGATATGGGATACCATGGGCAGAAAAGCAGCAAACCGACGGCAATGGAGATCACGTGTAAATGCCTTATGTGTCAACACGACATGAAGACGGCATAGATAGAATACATATCTAATTCATGTTGAAAGGATTTTATTTTCACCCAAAGCCCACTGTAAAATCACATTAATTTACATGTATATTAAGAGATTTCTATTATCTGTCTATTCGGTTATACGTCACAGCCCTGGTCCAAGCAGTTAGGGTTAATCAAAATTTTTCTGTACTTCTGCCACAGTGGATGTTTTGTAAGAAATACTGGGTGTCTTTCAGAAAAGCTTTTTAACTCCTTCAGTACCTAACAAACCTCTACATGTTTCAAAGTAATTCATTAAAAAATGTTGTCTTCTATAAGACCACCTATATATATTAACCCCTAGTTTCTGAATTGTTAGTTTAACTACTCCCATCCCATACCGCAAATGTTGAGCTCCCTCCAATTTTTTTAATTTATTGCTTTTAAGCTCAAGTCATCGGAATATAAGGAGTTACAGAAACAACTGCTTAGTACTGGTTAAAATAGATATTATTTGATATTTTTGCGTATTTATGATAAACCATGAAATCTGCCCTTCAACCTAAGATAGGTTATTATGGACAGATCAGAACAAGTCATTATCCTGTGCCACAGAATAGAGCACAACTGATTACGCAGCCACATACATACACAATTTAAGACAGGTATATCAGCCTTGTGCTGAATGCATACTGCAAGACTGCACTAAACATAACACATCAAGGCAAGGCAAACCTTTTAGGGAGAAAAAAAAGAACAACAGTGGAAAACAAACTATACAAACCATGAATGAACTAAACATGACAGTAAAAATTTACATATTTACCTGAGTAAACTGCTAATGCACATAACTTTTTTTTCAAGCCAACAAAAGAAGAAAAGGATATGTCTATAAAAATCTGCCAGGGTCAAAGTTTTGTGTGCACATCAGTTTTACCAGCTAGTGTGCAGTTGGTTGTTCCGTGTCGCTCAGGTAGATGCACTCTGACTTTGAAAGACAGCCCCCCTCCCCCCCTAGTAAACTCCTAGGACATGCTTGTTTAATTAAATTTCAGAAACGCTTCATGATAAATCAGAATCTACTCCTCATGACTGATCAGAATCTACCCTTCATTATAAATCAGAATCTACCCTTCATTATAAATCAGAATCTACCCTTCATTATAAATCAGAATCTACCCTTCATTATAAATCAGAATCTACCCTTCATTATAAATCAGAATCTACCCTTCATTATAAATCAGAATCTACCCTTCATTATAAATCAGAATCTACCCTTCATTATAAATCAGAATCTACCCTTCATTATAAATCAGAATCTACCCTTCATTATAAATCAGAATCTACCCTTCATTATAAATCAGAATCTACCCTTCATTATAAATCAGAATCTACCCTTCATTATAAATCAGAATCTACCCTTCATTATAAATCAGAATCTACCCTTCATTATAAATCAGAATCTACCCTTCATTATAAATCAGAATCTACCCTTCATTATAAATCAGAATCTACCCTTCATTATAAATCAGAATTTACCCTTCATTATAAATCAGAATTTACCCTTCATTTTAAATCAGAATCTACCCTTCATTATAAATCAGAATCTACCCTTCATTATAAATCAGAATCTACCCTTCATTATAAATCAGAATCTACCCTTCATTATAAATTACAGACTCTAACCCCTTAATGTGAATCTTCTCTCCGTGATAAATTACTGAATCCGCTCTTCAACATTTGACATCTATGATAATAGATCCCTGAATCTGCCTAATCCTAAAACAAATTGCAGAGTCTATATCTTCAACAAAAGATAAAAAGAACACTCACCACTCTCCTAACAAATATGTCATAAAAGGCAACTAATTTGGGTCTGATGAAAGCGGCATCGAGCCCTAGGGTGCAGATATCACAACCTAGCTATAAACCACAAACATGACAACGGCCTTTCTAAGATTAAACACAGAAGAAGAATTATTTGAATTAATTAAATAGCGGGGAAAAAAGCTTTTAGAAACAGTATTTAAAAAAAGATACATGTAAAAATTAAATGGTAATATTAAAACAAACATCAAAATTAACATAAAACTAGTAAAACCATTACCTTTAATATCTTTATCACACACTTTTCATTGTTAGTGACATTAACTGCTTCAAAGACTTCACTATATTTTCCTCTGCCAAGTTTTCGGACTACCTGATAGTCATCCTGGTTGCTGAAATGCCAGTAAATCTCACTAACTGGGTGTTATCATTATTACAACAATAAATTTATTGTAAGAAGTAGTATGAGTAAAATTTAAGAGCTACAAGATATAAATCATAAAGACCAAGATGAAATGAGAAACAGAACATCTGTTCAAGCAGATATGTAGCAAAAGAAATCTGGAAGATATTAAGACATGGAATAACAGTAGCAAGCGTGAGCAGTGGTTTTTTTTTTTTTTTTTTTAAACTAGTGGTCCATGGAGCAGCAGTGGTCTGCAAAAAATGTTTGCCCGATCTTTTTTTTTTCCTTCTTCCAAAATCCTATTTGTTAGAAAAAGATTTTCTCAGCCACATCAGCAATAGAAACCAAACAGAGAAATCGAAGGCATGTCTCACTGCAGCGATTTGTCTAGCAGACATGGCCAGAGGTATCAAATCTTCTCACCTCTAAGTTGCAGCAGACGTCAGATTTACTGGATAATGTAACTGTATAACTTCAGATTTGGTTAAACAAACTGCTATCTACATATAATTTTGTTCAACTATCATGTGGCTAATGAAAGTAGAACATCATATACAACAACAATAAGGAGACAAACAAAGTTCTTTGGTTATGTGTTGAGAAAAGGAGCACTGGAAAATATGATGATGACTGAAAAGATCTCTGGTCAAAAAAAGCAGACCAAGGGAAATGATGGTGGATGGCTTAAGACAGTGGTATGGACAAATATCATCAGTGAACACCAAAGAACGAGATTTGTGGAAATGCATTAGCGCCTATGCCAGCTGGCAAGGCATTTGACGACGATGATGATGAAAATCATGTGATCCGGAAAACAATGTATCATTCTGCCGGCCCACTGGTGTAAAAAGTTTGAAGAACTGGACCAGAGAGTATAACAAAAGCATGAAACAGAACATGCCGCAAGTCCACTGCTGATAATCTTTAACATTAAACGATTCATCATCACTACAACAGTGGCTTTCAACCTTATTGCCATGACCCTTTAATACAGTTCCTCATGTTGTGGTGACCCCAAACCATAAAAAAATTGTGTTGCTACTGCATAAATTCAGTGAATATGTATTCCAATGGTCTTAGTCAACCCCAAAAAAGGGTCACAACCCACAGCTTGCAAACCTCTGATATAGAAGGTCCTTTGCAGAACCCTGCCCTCATCACAGCATGCTGGAAAGCCACTGGGTCCTCTGGCAACTTTCATGCCAAGGATGCTCTTGATATTCTCAGCCCACCATTGTGCTGGTCAACCTCTTCCTCCAAGAGCCACAAGCTCCATTACTGTTCACTCTAAACCATATGGCACCAATATGACCAACTCCCAGCGTGGTTTTTGGGAGCCTAATTTGTTTGGGTGGCGGGTGGCAGACCCACAAGCATGTCATAAAATGTGACTTGGGGGGGGGGGGGGGGGGGGGGGGGGGTTGTCCTTTAAAGCCTGAGTGCATCTACCTGAGGTAGGCAACCAACAGTCTGCCCCGGGTCTGTAAAACAGGTGTGCATGCAAATCTCATGTTCTGGAACGCCAGATCTTTCTGCCGGACATTACAGCCAGTGAACACAAAGGAAAAGCCAAACGTATTTCGGTTCTCGAGAAATGATACCCTCTACGATTTTTAACATAAATTGTTAACGCCACTGATGCATCAACCATATAGTTCTAGACCTATATTTGTGCACACCACTCAGAAATGTGATGGGTGAAGAAATCAACAATATTCAGGCTGGCTTGACTTCCAAGGAAATTATCTGGTACCCATTTTAGGATAGGCCGACCAGACAGTCAAGGTCAATTTCTGGGGGGAAATCTGCCTTGATGCAGCTATGAACCTTAGACCTTTAGGCACACAGCTGAACATCCGGCTGCTAGACTAACGCAGCCGCACCCACTCCCTAAGGATTACCTCATCGAAGATATATGCAACGGAATCTCCATTAACATTACTTTCCTTCTGCCTTGTATCGCCAAAGGCAGCATAGGTCCATAAACAGCTCATTTTATCAAACTTTACGGCTCGCTGAGTGAATTCCAAAAGACAGTAAAGTTTGTACTAGAGACAACATTGCAGATACAGATAATTTATTTCAAGCGAATGAAAGAAGAAGCAGCTCATTTTAATCTGTTCTATTCTTTGCCATCATGTGCAGCTTACATCGTCTTATCCCAAGTCAAATTTGTTTCTTCATGTATTTTTTTGCCCTGTGAGTTCCAATGAAAAGACATTCTAGTTACATTTTAATCAGCTTTTCTCAAAGTCTGTCCTATCCAGCGCTAGCAACTTTTCCCCACCTCTTGATTTAGTTCTCTTCCAAAGCTCAACATCAGAGATTCTATTACACCATTTAATTATCTGTTGCAGATAAGTATTGCAAGAGTTGCGCAACCCCAGGCCGATCCTTAATCAATTCTTAGACCATGCCTGGTGAAGTTCAGTGTACTATTTGTTACCTTTCCTATTTTAAGCAAACGGATAAATCAGGAAAAAGATACTTCGCAGAGATAAAGAATAGGACAATAACAAATGCAACTACTATATGCTACTGAGTGCAATCTTATCAAATGAATCCGCTAAGAGGTTAACATAAATTCATGGGGCATCCAAAAGAAGCAATATGATTCCTAAAAACTCAAGCCTAATTAGTGATAAGTGAGGATTATCATCACAGCACTCCGGACGGATCCTTAGGTGCTCCAATCTCCTCCTCAAAAGCTCCACAAGTGTTAAAACAACCGATGACGCATCTCTGTGTTGGTTAATAAAACGTCTTGTTCCCTTAGTGAAATGCTCATTTCTTGCAGCTCCAGGCTGCTCCCCATGTCCATCAGTCTAGACAGGGATATGGAGTCATGTCCTTTGGCGTGCTCCTTATATGGCAAGTGCAGCGCATGGCATTGATAACATCACTTCTGTACAGTACTGGACCAGCCTTAGCAACTGCATTGTCAGCAAGATAGTCTGCACGCTCATTCACTTGGACACTCGCACAAAGATAAAGGTTACCACAGCCTAATCTAACATTCTAATGACAAACACAACAGACAGCACTAACCCCCAGTCTACAACATGTGATTCATAGTCCCAGTACTCCCTGGGCTTGTGTGTGTTAACATCAGCATAAACACGTGCCCTGCTTGGTAAGGGCATTGTGAAGAAAGGCTGTGATCTTGGGACAGTCTTGCCCCTTCCTGTATGAAAACTTATGAACTTTCTTCTGAAGCGCTCAAAACTAGAAAGCGTGAAGCGACGAAATATATCAATGACGGACTTTATTTCAGGAATGCTGAAGAGAAAATACAACGCTTATTTTAAGAACAGGATAACAATTATCTTACAGTGTGCATAACACTAAATTAAAATTAGTGTAAATAATATAGTTAATTTGACGAATTGTAAATGTAACTGAAAGAGAAAGATCAGAAATGATGACATCAGGAGACAATTTGGCATACAACCAGTACTTAACTACACCATGGGACAAGAGATCAAATAGTTTGGACATATGTCAAAGTCAAAACTACCCACTACCAGACAGCGCACCACAGAGAGTGAGCAGTCACTTTGACATATTGGAAGCAGATACTATAGTGGGCGACCACTCAGGTATAGACAGATGAAATATCTGAAACCATGACATCTAAGTAACACATACCAAGGAGGGTGCCGCGCGGTCTCGAGGCATAGTGTCTGCCTTGAGTGCTAGAGGTTCCGGGTTAAATCCCCGGTAAGAGCTGGGATTTTTTCATGTGGACTTAGACTTCTAGTAATTCCCCCTGGACTCTGGGTAGTGAGATCATACGCCCTGTGTGCATTGTTGCGTACGTACAAAAATAATTTGGCAGTTGAAAATCAAAAACAGTAGCCTAACGGCGAAGCCCAGGCAAAATTTGGAGTTTAAAATCTACCCAAATTACTTCAGGATCCTCGCCGGTGCTACAGAGCCTGTGCACTGTGCTGAGCTTCTTCGGACTAAGACTTGAGTTAGAAAAATAATGGAGCACTTATAAGTTACTACCCGTATGCCATGATGTTGATCCGTTGTTCAAAAACCTCCCAAAAACACATTCCCAGTGCCTCTTGAAAATCTGAAAGACAGAACAGGACTAGAGAAGAAAAAGAAATTTTATAATTGCATTTCCTCTTGAATGCACAGGACAGAACAGAATGAAGGACTACAGTGCAAAAGAATGTGACGTGTAACAGTACAACAGGGGTGAATTTATCCTCTTCATGATACTGTAAACCAGCCTTAGTATTTATTGCACAAATTTATGTTTGACAAGCCAAGTAAAACATAAAGGACACTTCCCCATGCCTTCAGATGTCCCTGTATAAGCTACAAACAATACTCCTAGTCTAGGGTTGAGACTTGACAGTTTGAAGTGAGGTGGCTGCTCAGCTATGTTCAGCAGTTTGCCAAAAACTGGGTATACTATTGTTGAATGGAAGTAGTCCATCAGGCCTACAGGGGAGAGAGAAAACATACAGGCAGATGTACAAACACTTGGAGTCATCAACTGGAAAGAGAAGGCCACTCACAGAGACGAATGGATGGAGGATATTTGCATCAGTGAATATCAAGGGCTCAGCGAGAATGCTCAAGAAGGTGTCTGCAATTGCTTTGTAAACACTTCGAGGTTCATAGTTCAAAATCAACCCTATTGCCAGCTATCCTCCGAATAGTCTTCCTAAATTATCGAGGCCAAAAATATACCCTAACAGGGCCTCAGTCACATGTAAATTGCTGATTTCCAGCGAATACCGGCACTGCTAAGAGTATTTCCCAAGCCGCTACGCGCGGAGCAACTAGATGGCTGGGACTCACGAGCAAATAAAATGAAGGAAGCTGCAGGAGATGCGGTAGCTGCTCCTCCTGAGTCCATCCATCTAGTTTAGCCCCGCTCCACACAGCGGTGGTGGTAGTCGCCGGAAGTCAGCAATTAATTTAAGTCGCCCGGGAGTCAGCAATTTACATGTGACTGAGGTCCTGTTATGGTATACTTTCAGCCTCGATAATTTGGGACCGTTATTCGGAGGATAGCCCTAATGCCTAATGAGTCTGCTACCAACGGCCTGCAGCTGACTTTGAACCATGGTAAAGTATGTCCGGATAACTGAACTGCGTTAACAACCCCTCAACCACTGACACCAACATAACATTTTTATGTAACTATATTATTATATGTAAAGTTTACAAACAAAACATATATATATAATTAACTCTTTGAGTCACAAGGAACACATACGTTCATAGGTTTCTACCTAGAAGCCCAAAGAACACACGATGCGCTGATTTCATGTGTCTCTTGACTACCCTTGGGCCTGTAATACTAAACCCCCGGGACTCAAAGAGTTAATATAAGATAACCAAAGAATTAGGGACAAGGTCTTAGTAAGTCTTAGTAATAAATACTATATTGATATATCAAGTAGCCACTTTAGTCAAATTTTCAAAATCATTTTTTCCTTATAAAACCAGTACAGCTGCATACATATTGAAAAGCTCTTTCCAACGGTACCTCTTTCATGCCTGTATGTCAATTCTAAGCCAAGTTATTGAAGTTTTTGTGGAAAAAATGAACAAAGAAGAAAAAATAAAAGTGAGATAAAACTTGTCGCCTTAAAATCGTAAGTCTTAGAGGAGTGTTTAAAAAGTGCTTTTACTTAAAAAGTATTTAAAAAAGACCCTAGAAACCATATATTTTTGGATTCGGGACAACAATCTCTAACTGAATAAAGATGAAATTTTTAGTAGTTACGTAATATCAACTAATAATTGACTAATAATTATTCAAAATGGCCGCCATTTATCATAATCATTACTCAATATGTTCTTATAAACTTTATAACGGTCTTTACATTTTTTTTTCCTTGGTACGTTTATTGGAAAAAGAAAAAAAGCTTTAAATGTGCTAAAGACATAAGCACATGTCAAGCTCAAATTAGAACTAGGTCGCTTATTGAATATTTATATTAATTAATTAATTTAAAAATTTTTTTTTTTTTTTTTTTCACAATCACCATCAAATTTCGGAACAGATGAATTTTTTTTCCCTTAGTCCTGGTGATGTATCATGTGCTTCTCCCCTCCCCCTTATTTTATGTTATTTTGGCCACTAATTATTAACTAAAAATAACCATTGTCACTAAGTAAGCGAAACCATCTTTACAAATCTGAAGTACACTGACATTTTCCCCCTTGACTCACTCTGAATAATCCAGTCATCACAAATGAACAAACAATTTGTGTGGTTTATTTCAACATTTGATTATTTTTATTTATAAAGCATACTGTCAAAGTGCCTTCCACGTCCACATGGGGGTTCTTTTACCTCTACCTTTGACAGCAATTTTTGACTGTCAGGACAAGTGAGTGCCCTGCTCTGCTTAAGTGCAGAGTTGTCCACTTATTCCGGTGGATACTCGGTCCCCAGAGCTGTGTTTGCCCATCCTCTACCGCGCAGAACTGCAGTTGGGATTTTCCCTTCACCGAGTTATGAGACCATAAAGGCATTTCCCAAAACTCTCCGGTACTTTAGAAAGATTTCATATCCCAGCATAAGGATTACATCATTTGCTTCTGCTATCCAATGCCAATCTAAACACACAAAAAAAAAAAAAAGTAATTAACATACACATATAATAGTAGACAATTTAAAAAATGCACTTAGCAAAACAGATTTGAAAAAAAAAAGATTACCATTGTCAGTATTGTGTATGTGTTGTGACAGCTAAGATATGCAATCGTCAAAAGCCAATAATTTCATGTTTTTTTTTTTTCAAACAAATCCTGCATGTATCCACATTCCTTTCTGGTTGGAGTGCCCACAAAGCAACTCACACGTCTGTCTGTAATGATCAAGTTTTCACTGGGTTTACATTGTTTACCTTGGCTCTTAAAGAAGGAATGTAACTATTAGCACATGATTAAGTGGGGTTTTCAGAAAATAGTTCAATTAAAATTGCAAAATATACACCTGAAAAAAGAGGGTTTGAAATCTATTCACAGCTGATATATGTTCATACGTCCCAGATGGTATGTAATGATTATTATAAAGTATTACATTTTGTTTAAACAATTAAACATGTCGTTATAGCTACTCACCATGTCCATTAGTCTGTGTTTGACTGCCGACGAAAGCTGCTGTCGATTGGGCTGACAAGCGAGCGTGATGATGACTTGCACTCTTAGAAGCCTTTATCTTTACTGAGCGTCAACTAAAATAAAACTTTGAGACAGCTTTATAATAAAATTACAATTCTGATATAAATTTGTATGTTCCAAAAATAAGGTTTTGATTATTTTAAAAATATTCTATGATTTCTAAATCGGTTTTCTTTTTTAAAGTACTTATGTTTTATTTTTAATCTTCATAAAATGCCAGTTCTTTTGTGGCAAAGTCTACCAGAAATTCTGTCATAGTCATCTTGAAGGTGGCATCTGTTGGTCCTTCATCTTCCTTCCAGTAATACAGCTCTATTACTGTCTTCAGGCTGTCTTTTTCTTTCACGCTCTTTACCATTTCAATATAGACAGTGTCTACTCCTTCTTCATACCAGACGTGTCGCAGTAACACACCTGGCAGTGCATTAGCGTTGTTGAGAATATTTTTCAACTTCTCCTTTGTGTTCAAACTCTACATCTTTAAATAGCTCTAGGTCGAGAACTGACAACACTGACTCTGTACGCACAAAGTCTGATAATCGTTTTTCATGTACATCTCTTTGTGTCTTGTCTAACCTCTGGACATCTTTCTGCTGTCTTTTCTTCTGTTGCTCAGCTTGATGCTGCCTCACTTTAGACCCATAACGGATTGCAAAACGGACCAAAAAGTTTTGGTAGTCGTCATCAAATGACTGTAGCCAGTGCAAAGTTTTGTTTTGCACAGCCTTTATTTTAGCATCAATAAATCCTATGGAGGCATTTGGGGCTCTTTGCAAAGCTCTATCCAACATTGCCATAATTCTTTCAGCCTCCATATTATGAACCGGGGCGGAAGATGTCCTTGCTATCATTTCTTCAGATGGATTAGACAAGGCCCCTGCAAAATATGGCTTAAACTGCTGTTGCAATGTTTTAATAAACGCAGATGATACATTTTTTGCTACTATACTGTAATCTTTAGTAGAATGGTGAAGCTTGGTTA